CTCCCCCCCCTCCCCCCGTGGTAAAAAAAAATTCATCGGTCCCTAAATCATATTACATAAAATTGAGCTCTAGCCTGATTTTGAAAAAAGTAGTTTTCCTGAATTTAGTCTTTATGGACTTATTTGTCAGCAAGGAGAGCCAACCATTCTTTCATATTTCCTTAAATCTTTAACAAAGAGAAAAAAAAATACAAACTTTGCTCGAAACCTTTTCAAAATAGTCAAAACGAAGGGGCTAGTGGGAATGAGAAGGAGAGAACATCTGTCACAAGCCAGTTGAAGGTGATTTTGTGCGACCACTTGAAAACCTAAATATGGATATTCAATTTCAAAAACAATTCTGAGTAGTCAAAATAGAAAAAGAAAAATCTCTCTGTTTAGAACAGACAGAATAAGTCATAATATATACAAAAAAAGAAAACGCCTAAGAAAAGACAAAAAATAAAACAAAACAAAAAAATGAACGGGTGGATATACAAAGCGGCAAGACATAAGTACATGATTCTTGAGGATTTCGACTTAACCAAACTTATTGGCCATTATTGGCCATTATTGGCCATCACCAAGAGATGATTATATGGGGATCGGTTACAAAAGAAAACCAATTTTATCGTTGACTTATTAACGGCGCATCTTTTTGTTGATAAATATGCTGTGCATTTCTTTAGTTTCCTTTGATGATCAGGTTCCTATTTCTCTTAACATCTCCATTCAGATTGATATTCGTCTGTTTGTTCGTTTAGCAATCCATATCGTGTTATGACAAGTGAACTGAATAATTTATCAGGATGTTCCTTCCTAATAACCATCTTATTGTGGTAGTAATGGAAATACGTCAGGCAAACTTGAACTGCAATAATTTACCTGATTTGAAAAACGAACGAGCGCAGCGCACACTAATAATCTTTTGACTAAAGTTTTACGGCACAAAATCCAGTTTCTCCCTAAGTTGCATGCACTTTTAAGAAGATATGATATTGATTAAATTCTCACTTTTATCAGTATATTAGTTTATCAGTATATTAGTACCAATGTATTATATGAATTATTTGATTGTTGCTGTAATGTCATGTCGTTGAGCTCTTTTGATCAGTTTTTGTAGAAAGTAATAGTTGTTTACTTGCAGTTATTTCTGTCAATTTAGAGAACTTTCCTTTTATAATGATATAGTGGCTAAAAGATTAATAATAATAAAAAAGTTAAAAACCAATGCTGTTTTCGGATAATCATATTCAGGGCATCTATATGTTGTGTTTATCTAGCTGGACACGAAGGCCGCACTGAAAGTTATGAGTTCACATGAGTTGTTTTTTTTCTTTTTTTTAATTTTAGCTATGCGCTTTCAGTCTATGGGGCATCTGAGTCCGATCTTATGGTTGTACAAAATGTTTTAGACCCATGCTATAAACGCTGTTTTATTTCATTTCCTGTTTTCATCAAGAACCTTTAAAACAAACAAGACCGAAACATTTTGAAGAAATTAATATCAATGGATTGCCACCCCTTGAAAGACATCATTCCTTTCCATAAGGCTTATGTACACAATCTTAGAAATAAAGGCTGCGCACGCCCGAAAATTAATGCACAGCGCTTTTTAAACACCTTTGTACTGATAGGTTGATATTTAAGCTCCATTAATTGTAATAACATACTTTTTAATTCATAATATGAATGTAGATTTCTATTGTAGTTTTTCCCAATTCATTGTAACATAAGATGTGTAGTGTTATTATATAGATACTGATGAAATACCAGGATTTCTCCTTTTACTAAAAATTCATATCTTCACCGCGCGCAGTGAAGATACTATTTTTATCTTTCACGTGTGAGGATGTTGGTGTGGCCATGGTTACCCAATTGCAATAGAGCTTCTCGCTCAGGCGCGCGGTCGGTTTATTTGAAATTTCATTCACAAAATGGCCTCGAGGTGCGAAGACAGTAGAGTTACCGGTGACTTTCTCGATGAGCTGCCAAATTTTCACATCGATATTGTTTCCGAGNGGCTATCGCCTCGGGCAACTCTTACGCTTCTTTCGTGCTCTCCAAACTTCCCGCATGCTCCATAACTCGATAGTGCACGCTAAAGCATGAACCAATTGTTAATGAATGGCGTCAAATAGTCTTAAATGTCTTGATTTAGTGCCAAAAGTTTTCTCATAATTTCAGTCCATTAAAAATCGCTATGATGTATTGTGTCAAGAGAAAATTATGTCCAATATTTTCTCTTGTTTGTATCTAATCTTGGTTTTGGCGTCATTATGACACCAAAGAAAGAAAATCAAGGAATAAATCCAATCAAATGATAAACTGCATATGATCTACACTAAACAGAAATTGTGACTTTCTCTTCATTGCGCAATTTATTGGAACTTCTATTCAGGATACATACGGAAACTTTATCGATTAGAGTCCACTTTGTATCAGCTTTTGTTGTCCTTAAATCGCCCCTTTGTGCATTATATGGAGGTACACGTTTGCCGCTAAAGCGATGTTGCTTCTCCAATTTGAGTTAAGGATCATTAAAGTTTTCAGCAGGTTCCACGACGAAACGCTTCCTTTCATTTAAGGTTAATGTCGTTGCAAATTTACACAGCAACATAACAATAACCTTTTGGCGTCTATTACACAATAACGTGATTTTTTTATTTTTTTTTATTTTTGCATTAATTAAAATTACGAGGAGAGCTGATGAGGGCAGTGTCAAATGGTGAAACTCTCATAGTTTCGTCTCTTACGTTACATGAACGTGATACAAATAAACGTTTTGCATAATAGTTGCTAATAATAATCCATTTCCAACTGCGTTTTTAGGAACTGAATGCTTGCACGCATAACTTTCATCTGCCATCAGTAAAAGATTATCTGAGCTCCTTCTCACAGTCAGCTGTGTCGAAGGCCCTGGCAGGTTCGAGGTGATGTTCCGCGTGAAAGTTGAGAGAAGTAAAAATCGAGAAAGATTTGTAGTCGCGGACCCAGTTGGTATTAATAATACACATTCCTGGTGGGTTTGCTCGTTGCGGCGAAGAAAGACTTTTGTGCAACCGTCACTGTTCCGTCATTAACAATTTACACATGGAATTATTTTGTACAAATTTGGTCACGTCATGAACCAAACTGATGTTGTCGATGATAAACTAAGCCCGTATGTGACAACTTTGGCAAAGACGAGTTTACTCACCAAAAATGCGCATTTAACGCCACGCCAAACAGATTAGCTCGTTGAAAATTATCAGAGCTACAATACATTAATTTTTTGGCGACTATATTATAATTACACCGAGTTGTTTGCAACATTAAATTACCACGAGATCGATTATGTGAGATGGAAAAACCTTAAGTTAAGGCAGAGCGAGTTCTTCTAACTTTTAACTGCCAGCTCTTTAAGATCATTATGTGGTTTATTCAGTCTACTTCCCCATGACAATTATGATAACTTATCTTAATGGTGATTAGTTAGAACCCTTCTTCAACTCGTTTCAGGAAGTTCAGCTCAGCGTGGGGGGGTAACAATTCAGTTATCAATAATAAATAAGATAA